AGCCTTCCTTTACTATAAACTTTGACCCCATAAACTTTGACAACAGGATCACGATATCTGTTTATTTGTTTGCTTTGTTATTGTGAACTTTATGACCGCAATGCCGTTGATGACACACACATACGAGAAGGGATTTCGGCCATGTAGCGAAAATCGGCTTAAAATATACTCCATCTCACAAAAGTCCAGACCAGCACCAAAGGCAACGCGTGCATGATTTATGGTCTCCTTGCAGCCGAAAAAGCGGGGAAAAAGCTGGTGAGAAATAGAGGGTAAATAGAAGGTTTTGGCCAACACTTTTGTGAAGACTAAGCCTGGTCTTGGTTTATGCAACTAATGCAACTGAGCGCCATTGTTGCTGGCCCGCACCAAGTGGCAAAAGAAAAAAGTTATTTACGGAAAACTTCCGCCAAGAGTGGATGGCGGGGTCATTGTTGACTTGAGGCCTAACACTCGTACCTAGGCAAGTTTTTAAATCATTTCTCTTTTGCATTTGCAACTTTTTCGAGCTCAACTTGGCCGCCATTTTGCAATTTTGCCCTTTTGCCACTTTGCAATTGCACAATGGCGGCCGCCATGGCGTTTTGGGTTCGCGTTCCCGTTATTTGCAAATTATGTTACTTTGGCCAACTCGAATAAATCTTGGGGAAAGTGTGCAAGTAGCTGCCTCCCACACAAATCACAGGCAAATTAGTTGCCTTCCATCTCGCTCAGGCAAACTTGTTGAGCTGCAAGTTGGCGCTCTTCTAAAATATATATGACCAAAACTTGCTGCTAATGAGTAAATGTGGGAAAAGTTTAAATTAATTTTTGAAATGTGTTCCACTCTAAAGATTTTCAATTTCCTCTGTGGCCAAGCTGGCCATATCTGTTTCAGTATAATGGCCCACACTTTCTAATTATCTTTTCGATACTTTCGGTTGAACCCATACATTTTTATGGATAAACTTCGCACCTCAAGAGCTCCATTCTTTTCTTTGGTGCCGGTCCGTTGCCGGATGTTCATTGAGACTGTCGAAAAATGAAGTGATATTACAGGATGAAAACCAAAAAAATTGTGGGTTCACATTTTTATCGCCAGCCATAAAAACAGATTGCTTTGAAAATTATCAATATATTCCAGTTTCTATACCTTGAAAGAATGTGTCTCCTTGAAACATATTTACGGATTCTGGAAGAAATATTTAATTAAATTACATTACATTAATAAGTTTTTATTAACAAATACGCCACAGTACGCAAAGTATAACAGAACAGTAAAACCGAAATATTCGGTCGAGTATTACTTTTTAAAATAATTAATAATGCTTTGTAGGTAATAACGGTATTACTAAATTTATATCGAATGTAAAATTCTGTTTTTGTATTTTATTTTCAATACGATACACAATTAAAACTGTTATCTATTGTTTTAGTTATTGTAAGAGTATTCTGAACAGCAAATATATATTTAAAAGACTTTGCCAAAGGTACATTTCCAAAATCAAGTGTATTTTATTAAATCAACAAATGTACTTTACAAATTTTACCATGAACTTAATCAATTTAGATAATTACACAGGATAGAGATTCAAAATGGCATTTATATTTACTTGAATTTACTGGCTGGGAAGAAACGGCAAAGAAATAACAATTGTCTGGAATCTATTTGTGCATTATTGAATATAATTTGTGTACGCTTCGATTGCGCTAACTTTTGCATTAGGAGCAAAATCAATCGAATTTAGATATCAGGGGCAGACGTAGAAGTTTCCCCTTAAATTTCCCGAGCTGGTTGTCTTAACTCCTGACAAGCTCGCTGGCCATTTCGACTCATGTGCCACTATTTTGTTTATGCTGCAAATTTCCGGCTTTGCTTCCTAGATGTCGGTGTGTGAGTATCTGTCTGTGTAGCCAGCTCTTTGTTGTGTTTGTGGCTCACTGCCTCGCTTTAGCTGCCAATCACAACTGCTTGACAAATTGCTTTTGGACACGACTGACATGTTGACAGGCTTACTCAACTGTTCCGCTCCCACCCCGTGCACCACCGATTTCTTATCTCACGAGTATCGGTCTTTATTTAAAGCTTTAAAACAAATAGTTATGCGACATTTTTTAAGTAAAGAGTCACGTTACACATTCTTGGATAATAATTTGTCGTTTCAGAGAACTTAAGCTTAAACGAATCCTCAGAAATATGAATTTTAAAAATATATTAAATTTAGCTCTTTCCCTATTGGTCTATTATTATTAAGCTTAAATGGCATACTGTAAAAAGCACTTTACAATACCTTGGTTAAGGAATATGTATGCCTTTTCCTACACTGTTATTGAAGCGATTAATTACCCTTTTCTAGATTATTAAACTTTTGCGAAGTAAATTTTAAGTTATCACCGTTTTTTCTCCTTTTCCTTTATTATTATGCTCCAAAAAAGTCAACCAGTTTTTCACTCTTTTATTGCACTAACCAACACTGGCATTGAAGCGACCCACGTAATTCGGTTTTCCCTTTCAGAAAACTTACCCATCCGCCAGCGGGCAACATTTTCAGTTTTCCAGCTGAGAAACCACAGACAAACGCGCAGCCGGCCCAAGGTGCAAAAAAATACTCGTAGAAGATGAAGCAATTCACGTTAAATTTAATGTCACACGAACCCAAAAGTGAAAGTTACATTTGGCCAAGGAAAAGCAGAGTGAAAAATAGACAGAAAATGGGAAAAAAAGGGGTGAGGGAGAGGAAAAAGTGGTGCAGTTAGAAAATTACTTTTACTTAATGCCATTGAAGGGTTCCCCAAGGATATTCGAGAGTTTTAAGTGCGACGTTTGCATTTCCTCCTCTGCTCCAACAATGTGCAATAGTTTCGCTTCGCCATTGTTTCGCGGTGAATACGAATAGGAATACGAGTTCAAGGACCACTCGTCCGCCGAGAGCTGTATGTGATGGGAAATATATTCCCATGTCATGCAAGAGTTGTTCTTTCGTGAAAGTTTCTTATATGTAACAGTGCCGGGCGAGTGCACATTAGGAATTTCGTATTCCCGTCCTGAAGCTAAGACAAGATCTTGTAAAAACTCGACAGTTAGGCTCTCAAATTGAATTATATATATCTTAACCTTTATTTCTTTCTTATGAAAATGTCAAGGCATATGCTTGCGGTATCCTGTCATATATCAAAAGACGTCATTATTTCTTAAACACTCTGGGTTCAGGCCGAGTTCAGTCTGGGTCAGAGCCTAGAATGTCTACTCGGACTGTTGCCAGCGAGAGGGAGAGTGACATAATGTGATAAATGATGATTTTATAATCGTTTGCATGATAAACACCAGCGGAGGACCAGCAGTTCGCCCCCCCCTCCTCCCTCCTCCACCGTTCCCTCAAAAGAGTGTCCGCTTTCCTTAGTCAACTATCCTTTGCAGACATGTTTGTGTCAGCCTCGGCTCAAGTGACAAGCCCCGAGGCTGAGCCACTTTGCATGTAACGAGAATTTTGGGCTTTGCCCAGGCTGTGGACATGTCCTACACTTCCTACACCTGCTGGCAAAGCCTTTTTGCACATTTTCATTTGCGCTTCCAATTTCAAAATCCCGAAACCCGAGGCCGAAGCTTGGCCACCCGGCAATTGTATTTCCTGGTCCTGAAAATGATAAATTATCGTTTGTCTACGTTCTCTGATGCAATATGATGTCGTCTGCTGTGCACGAAGTCTCTATGGCCCGCTCCCTTTTCAGCCCATCTAATTCACATTTTTGATTAATTGGATTTCACACTGGGACAAATATCATCATTTCATTTTCTATTTGCTTTGCGGGCCGACTGTTTGCTATGACATCTTTGTCGCTCTTCTTTTGCTGAGAAGTATCAAATTGAATTATGGGCTGGGAAAAAAATTCATATTTGATATTCGGGATTATGGGCTATCTGCCCATGAATATATCTTCATCTTGATGGTGGGAGTTAACTGCACATAAAGCGAATGTCTCCATTCGATGCCATTATCGTTGTCCTCGAGCTTCGTCGTCAATGCATTAAAGTGCATTTTAAAATAGAGCAATAAATATTTACTCGTGGGCGGTTTGCAGACAGGGGGCGTGGCTGATTGCCAACCCATATCGTAATTGCAGATAAACTTTATGCCATTAACCTTAGCGTTGTCTAGGCAGCCCCACGTTTCCCTCGGTGCGCTGCAAAGTGCTTTAGAAACATTTCATGATAAGCTTTTGCCATTCGCCGGCCCCTCCTTTAGCCTTTTTGCGCCGTCAACAACTTTACATTTGCGGTCCTTCCCGGGAGGATAACGAAGAAATATGCAGAAAGTGGAGGATGCCATCATTAAACTTGCGCAAACATCGGCAAAATGCATTAAACTTGGCAAATATCGTAAAAATTAACGACAACATTATGTGGCAGCCGGCAACTCAGCTCCGACTCTCGTTTTTGCGAGTCGTCCTGGCCAAGTTCAAACTATAAATTGCGACAGTAACCAAGCCAAAACATGTTCTAAATAGTTCTCGTTGCCCTGAGTATGCAGTTGATTCGTACTAGTAATTGGAAGTGCGATTAGTTTTGTGGGAAAATGGTTTTCTAAGTGGACTATTATGCAAATCGGAGGAATCAACTTCTTAGCTGTGCCAGCTCTATCAAGATAGGCTGGCTTTTCGCACTTTTCCCGACTTATCCATGGAAATCAGCACAAGGCCAACACAATCCGTAACAAACTGAAAACAGTCCCGCAGGAAGTGACAGCAAGACCGGCGTAGAGAGCTCCTTCTCTGAAATGCATTTGTGCACTTGCCTGTTGACATTGTGGCATGTGTAGCAGGCGCAAATTAAAGGAAATCCAACCAGGACAACGACAGACAACGGGTAACTGGTCGTACACAGAGAACAACTTAGCAATGTCAACTTCATATTCCAAATTAAATTATTTTGAGAGGCTGCATTTGGACTTCGAAGGGCCTAAGTGTTAATAGCAGTTATCGCTTGCATGATATTTATATATATATATGTTTAAAAAACGTAATTGTTCTAAACAATACAACTAAGAAAGTGTTACTCAATTAAAACAACTAATCAAAAATCGTTAAAAAAAAGGATTGTTAAATAATAGTTCCAAGCAACAGAATATTTAAGTGTCATGTTGGAACCTCGAAAATTTAAACAATCTTTTCAGTGATGCTGTCACATTGTTGCCTTGTGTCCTTGGCCATGTGTGTGGGCGGGTATTTGGGCTGTTTGTTTAGCGCCAGCATAAACAGTTGTAACAGTTGGCCGTACAAGACCGCCCGGCTCGCATCAGGATCCGAATCACAGTCCGAATCCAGGGCTCGTCCACAACGGTAATTACATAACAAAAGTGCACACAAAACAAACTGGCAGTCGGGTCGAGCAGTGAAACAGCAGCAGCCTAACCATGGTCATCTGCATCTGGGCCAGCACTTAAATGAGTTATACAAATACTTGTGCCGTGATTATTCCACTGACCACGTAGACACGGGCACAAACAAGCCGGTCACAATGGTCATTTGATGAGTTGGCAAAGGGCCGATAAACAAGCTGCAATGAAGATAGCAAAAACATATTAAAGTTACTTTGTGTAAACACAAACGTGCAGAGATATGCGAGCGGAAAAAATTGAAATTAATCTTGTATTGACTCATGCTAACAGACAAGAAGGAAAACTATTAATTTTTTACTTCGCGGATCATCATAAATCTCCCAATTCGTTAACGGATAAGCGGGGGTTATCTCACCAAATGACGCATACGCAGCATGAGCCCGCACACAATTGCCTGTAAACATTGCAATTTGTTACAGCCCATCTGAACTCTATGGTGTACAGTGCGTGACATAAAAAAACGAAAGTTAACCCTATCTTATGGGGAATACATTTTTTGAGTTTGGAACTTAGACTACAATTAAGTACTATTGAATATTATTAAAATGTAAGTAAAATTTGATTGGTTCAATAAATTGCATTAAATTTTAAAAAGTATAATATATACCAGATATTATTAATCCTTTAAATCCTTTATTATACCTTTAAAGAAGTCATCATTTCATTTTTACTACACTTTCAAGTTGTTTTATTTATGAATAGTATGCGCTTGACTTATACTTTCGCTACACACTGTACCTTCGAAATCAACTGTGGTAGAATTTCAATTTTAGCGAGCCCACCGCCTTTGATGGGACCACTTGTCCGAGTCGAAAGCCATGACCAAAGGCGTGTGATTTATAACTAATTGATGAACACAATCATGCAGTCGATGGCCACATGGCCGAGTGCGGGACGTGTCCTTGTGGCCGAGTACAGTTGTGCTCAAGGTCACGAGTTGGCGCTGCCTCGGAGCAACTCAAGTGCTCGGTTGGAAAACTGATTCAGTCAAGCGTCTCGCCTGAATAATTTGCGGCATAACCAAGTTTATTATGCTTAGGAACGACGAAGGACCGCAAGGGGAAAGTTTTGGCTGGGGGCTCGCCTAAAAGGCGCATTTCCGTTTCCGCTTTAGGTAATCAATTCGAAATTCGTTTTTTATGTTGCCCTCTTTGTTGCTATTGACGTTGCTTAGCTTTTATTTTTAATTGCTGAATAAGTTTAATTGAACTAAATGGATTTCGTTTTGCGTCGTATAACTGTTGGTGTTCTGCCTAATGGCTTCTAAAAGCACAAATACTGTATATATATATTCGATTCACCCCCATCACTCACTTAACCCTTAACCCTTACGCATTTATATTTGTTGGCTTTCTACAAAAGCTTTAGCCAGCTGGCAACGTATTTTAATTGAATTTCAATTGATTGCAAAAATGTTCAATTTGGTGCCGCAACCAAATTTCATTTTAATTAATTAGAATTGATAACAATAACTGGTTTCCATGCACTTTTTTTGTTTCGCTCTTGCTGAATAAAAGATGCCTTAATGGCTTTAATTTTGTAATAGTCAGCGGTGAACGGAGGCATTGTTACATGGACTCACCATCAAGATCCAACCGGAAAAGTTATTATTGGGAATTTGGGGTGAGGGTCAGAAATGTATACCAACCAATGGCCGGCATAATTATTGATTGAACGCGTCAAGATATTTAAATAATCGTATTGACATTGCGGCTATATTAAATTCTGAAAAAACAGTAATTATATCAAAGCCTTGGGGCAATCAAATAATTAACCGTAAACTGCGTTAGCATGTCCTTGATTTTGACATGGAAAATAAGCAGAATTTTATATAGCTTCTATACCCACGTAGTTTATTAAAGTTATGCAAGGCATGAAGATAAACTGTTTACTCAATTTTAATAGCTTAGCTTGGTTTATTGCTGAAATTCGCATGGTTTTCACTTGTTTTCCTTCTGGTTTTAGTTTTAGTTTTAGTTTCGATAAGTGAAAGCATGGTATTTGCATTCAAAATATCACAAATTGAATCCGGCTAGTTGTTTAATAGTTTTGCTAACTGTTTTGAAAAGTTTTTTCGATTTGGCGAGCATAAGCTTACGCAAAGTGAATTCACATCTTTCGCTTTGCTGCAACACACACGCACATTAAAATATGTTCACCAAACTGCAATCAAAGCGACATAGCACAAATTTCACAGATTTTTGCACATTAAAAATATGTTCGCTACTCCAGCAGCCACACACACATGAGGCCACGCCTCCCATGAGCCCATTTTTAGCATGCCAAAAAAATAGAAAGAGAGCAAAGTTTTTATGCCAACGAGGAGAAAAAAAATGAGAATGTGTAAAAGTAATCGAGGAGCGGCACCCAGAAGAAGCTGCCGGGCAGAAAAGGGGACTATGTGGCCAATGCTGCCATGCGGCATCGCACCCCTTCATCCTCATCCCTCAGCTCAACCTTTTATGGCCCAGAGCCATGGCAAAATGCAGCGCTGAATTTGGTAATCAATTACCGTGCCATAGCCGAAGGAATGGGGTCCTGGCGAGGTCCTGGAGCCACATATGGCCCACATTTAGTACGGACAGCAGACAGCCGCAAACACAAGTAAATGCCCTCGAATACACTCGATTTTGTACAACGCCACGTATGAGTAATATGCAGGATTGTCTATGCAAAAGGCAAGTATGGGACTTGCAGGAGGTAATTCACATAAATATTCCCTTAGATTTGCCGAAATTTTTCATTACAAACTGCAAATTGGTTTGTGAATCCGCAGCAGCTGCTGCCCGCTGGCCATGTCCATGTACATTTTCTTGTCGTTGCATTTCTCAAACCAATTAATGGATTGCCAACCATAAATGCTAAAAATTCCACAAATCTTGTTCACATTTGGGAGCTAGGGATTTATGACTGGCAGCAGTTTAAGCCAACAACTGATTTCTTTGTAAATCTGATATGCAGAAATTAATTTATTCTACCTAAAGTGTACCACAGAACAAGACAAAGGATATTTAAAATATATAAATTTCTTATTTATTTAAGAAGTACATTTATTTCTAAAAAGCTTATCTTTCCGTCCCTTTAGGGTGATTTCCAGAATCGTTGCTGAAAAACAAGTAGTTTATTATCAGAGAGAATACAATAGAGAAATTAAAGCTCTTCAAGCTGTTCTTTCTTCGTTTCGCTTTGCAATTACATTTATTTTTCAACACCATCATCTACTTCCGCTTGTCATTAATTGACGTGCTCAGCTTTGGCAGCAATCACTTAATGAAATCATTTAATCAGTGCCGGCAACAATCGACAAAGAGGAAGTAACAGCTCCACCTTTCTAGAAACATATGTTCCATTAATGCTCCACAGTGCGAGCTCGATTCTGGTTGTGTCGCCGTCTCCGTTGGCTGCTCCAACGACACTAGGGAATTGTGGCCCGCCGACAGCTGTCCTTAATTACATGGAAATCACACTAGAATCGTACCCCCCACTCAGCACTGGCAAACGAATTCCCCACAGAGTCATTCACCTTGCCACCAAAAAAGAAAAAAGGCAAGCAACAGAACACAAAGTTCAATTCAAAGGCTGAAGCATACCCTAGATGGTCGAAATTCAAGCTTTATAAATGATTTGATCGATGGTTCTACAAAACTATGGGAAAACTATTAAAAAATGAATGATAATGAACTTTTAATATAAATGCTAACAGGATTTTTATACAAACACTGCTTTATGTTCTGTTTAAATACGATACGTAAATTTACAAGCCATCAACAAAGAGTTTATCAAGTAGCACACACTTACCTATCATTATTTTTATTTAGTTTGTTCTGATTGCTTGGAAACCAAAGAGAAATTGGATAAGGAATATACAATATATAGGTACTTTCCTTCTGAATTGGCAACCAAAATGATTATACCCCAATCTAGGTAAGGCAAAAATCGAAATCAAGTGAATATAACATATTATTTCAACAGGCAACTCATTCAGCATATAATATTGCCACCCGTGCCGATGTGTGTAGTTGATGTACGTAGCCCAGTGGGGGGTGCCCGCGATGGGGGATCTGGGGATGGGGCTGGAGTTGGAGCTGGAGTTTGGAGGGGTGGTAAAATGGGGGCTCGAGGTAGAGGGGACTATGCCATGGCATGGCATCGCGTAGGCCTCCGGAATTGAGGTGAAAAAGCGAAGAACACATTCACACACTAAAAGGCAAACAAAGGGAAATCAATCTTTGTACATACTTTTAGCATATGCACACGTATGATCCCCTCCCCCTTCCGCCTTTCTATGCCACACACACACGCACACACACACACAAACACCAAAAAATAGCCACAAAGCCATATATGTATGTGTGGCTTTTGGCTTGGCGGGGAATTGGGGAATATTTGCATGCCTTTGTGTACTTTTTCCATATGATTTATGACCCAAATTGTTGCTGCTCGCTCACATATAATTACACACATCGCTGTGGCAATGTGTGAGTTTGTCGTCTTGGGACGCGCGCCAAAGTATGCTACACTTTTTGTTTTATGAGTTAATAAGTGGGCGTGGCCCGAGCCCAATTGCTTCACCATGATTATGGCACCCGATACCCAACGCCACCCCACTTTCAGATAGGGAATATTCAAACCTATATGTGTGCAGATCAGATAGGAAAGCACAAAACTTGTTCAAGTATACTTTTGGGGCAAGCAATTTAGAAAATGTACCTCGGCGGCAACGAAATTATTTTTATGCTCGACTGAGCTGCACTTGCTCATGGGATTCAACGCCGATCCATATGGAAAAGTCTTCTAGTTCAAGTTTAAAGAAAAGAAAAAGTTTAATACTTGTTGAAGTGGTTAAAAAAAAAACGAACCTTTTTCCATTAAATATTTATAATGCTTTTGGCAACAAACAAAATGGCCTTACCTCTGCATTATTTAAACTTTTTCAAAACTAAACTTATTTTCAAAAATATATTTGATAATTTGAATAGCTTGAAAAGTTTTTTTTATCTAGGTGCCAAGAGAACGGTCTTAAAAACACTACTTGTAGAAAAATAGTATAAAAAAGCTTGGAGCCACAGATTCAAAATGCATACTTTTAAACTGTTGTTTAACCCAAAATGTACTTTTATTTAAAAGTAATATCAATAAAAATATATACTGTTAAATTAATCAACAAAATTATTTATATGTAAAAAAGATATCTGGGACATGGTACCTATGAAGGTTCAATAAAAACGAAAAAAACATCAATAAAAAGTTCACAATATCTTTAGTGTTTAGGTATAGGCAAAAATGTAGGCATTGTAGTATAACCAATAGAGACAACTTAAGTAAATCAGTTGTTCACAACACTGACCTTCAGTCGAACTGCACCCTCAATCGAGAATCAATGCTAATGCAGTGTCAGCGAAAATGTCAGCAACGGATTAGGCCAATCCACAGCGGCTAATCCCCTTGCAGCAATGCTAATCCAATTCCGTAGGGCCGTATAAAAGCCACCAGCCGTGCTGGCTGTGATTTCGTCTTGGCCCGAAGACCGGAGCATGGAGTCCGCTAACGTGTCATCGAGCTTGTTTGGCAACGTGTCCACCGTGCTGCGGCCGGAGGCGCGACTCTCCGCCGAAACGCGTCTGCTGGGCTGGAATGTGCCGCCGGAGGAGCTGCGCCACATACCCGAGCACTGGCTCACGTATCCAGAGCCGCCCGAATCGATGAACTACCTGCTGGGAACTCTCTACATCTTCTTCACAGTGATGTCGATGGTGGGCAATGGACTGGTCATCTGGGTATTTTCGGCAGCCAAATCGCTGCGCACTCCCTCCAATATACTGGTCATCAATCTGGCCATCTGCGACTTCATGATGATGACGAAGACTCCGATATTCATCTACAATAGTTTCAACCAGGGATACGCCCTAGGTCATCTTGGCTGTCAAATCTTTGGAGTTATCGGCTCGTACACGGGCATTGGAGCTAGTGCCACGAATGCCTTCATAGCCTACGATCGTTACAACGTGATTACTCGTCCCATGGAGGGCAAAATGACGCACGGCAAGGCCATTGCCATGATAATATTCATCTACATGTATGCTACCCCCTTCGTGGTAGCATGCTACACGGAAACTTGGGGTCGATTTGTGCCCGAGGGCTATCTGACCTCCTGCACCTTCGACTATCTAACCGACAACTTCGACACCCGCCTATTTGTGGCCGTCATCTTTTTCTTCAGCTTTGTGTGTCCCACTACGATGATCTTGTATTACTATTCCCAGATTGTCGGCCATGTCTTCAGCCACGAGAAAGCATTGCGGGATCAGGCCAAGAAGATGAACGTGGAATCGCTGCGCTCGAATGTGGACAAGAGCAGGGAGTCGGCGGAAATCCGGATAGCCAAGGCGGCCATCACCATCTGTTTCCTGTTCTTCTGCTCCTGGACGCCGTACGGGGTAATGTCTCTGATTGGCGCCTTTGGGGACAAAGCCCTTTTGACGCCCGGTGCCACAATGATCCCCGCCTGCGCCTGCAAAATGGTGGCCTGCATCGATCCGTTTGTGTACGCCATCAGTCATCCCAGATACCGCATTGAGCTGCAGAAGCGATGTCCCTGGCTGGCGCTCAACGAGAAGGCGCCAGAATCGTCGGCAGTCGCATCCACCAGCACCACCCAGGACCCGCAGCAGACCACCGCCGCCTAATGCAAAGTGCCATGCCACCCACCCGAAAAACGCCGACCATGATGATGAACTGAGAGGCCAACGAACTTGTAATACAAAGTGCTGCGGAAAAAATGTATAAATGTTTCACTGATTTTAAGCCACTGTGCAAGATGTATTAACATGTTTTTCCAATTATGTTTTGTAGTCTCTTTTGTGTTTATCAATGAAATATAGTCGAATTATTGCAAGCAACAGAGAAATGCGTAACAAAATGATATTTTAATTGGAATGGGGAAGAATAGACATATTAAATAGAGCCAGAGAAAAACGGCAGAGTAAAATTAAACACGCTCAAATATTTGCCCTTGATATATAGAATAAAAGTTAAGTAATTAAATCGAATTGAATTAGCCCTCATTTAATTATCTTTGTTTTTCTCACCAGTATTAAATATGTAGTTCTTTTCCTATGTCTTTCTCTGGATGTAGAAAAAATTGTTAAGAATTTTTTTGGGTTGGGTTTAATGAAATACACACAATAACACCACTACAGTTTTTAATACCGAATGAATATTGTAATGTGAATTTTGCATTGCCCATTTTAAAGTTTTTAAAGAGAATAATAATATCTCCCCCATGTGGATAATGTATAAATGTATAAAAACCAGCCCAGCCCCGATTTCTGAACTCTGGCCCGTTTTCAGTTGTCAATCGGGCACTTGATGCGGCCATTGCAGGTCACTCAGACGAACCGAGGAAGCCGTCTTTATGTTTTCCCAGAAGCGGAGATGGTCAACAACAAAGTTGGCCAGGAACAATGGCGAAAATGTGCCAGATTCAATGCGATCCACAGAGGGAAAGCTCTCTCTTTCTCTCTGTCCTTCTCTTTTACACTCTCTTACTTTGTCCCGAGAGCGACAGCCTTCCAGCTGGAAGGATCCTGCGCAGAAAACGCCTGAAACACTTTGGAAATGAAACATAAAGAGGGAATGGCGAATTGAATACAGCCAGAATATTACACGAATTTTAATAAATAACAAACTTCGGATCCACACACTTAAATACCTGCACGTGCCACCCGAGGGAATTTGCATTTATTTGCTGGCCATCAAAGTAAACAAAATAACGGGCAACTTCCACATGGAGTCCACTTACGATCCAGCCTCATTAATCACGCTGCCTTTTGCATTTTTGAGCAGAGTAACTGGGTGTAAATCAGGAGCTCCATGGCCACAAAGGATGCCTAGATTTGTGTGGTGGCTTTCTCCCATGCATGGCTTCCACATGGCCTCCACTTTGGCTGACGCCCACCGCTAGCCACCCACCAACCGCCCACCACCCCCAATGGCATTTAACAATTTGTTGGCCAAAGTGTTGCACCGTGTGTTTGTATGGCGCCTCATTATTATTGTTTTCCCAGCTACCATTTCTTCCGCACTCTTCCCCTATGTCTATCTCTTCTTTTTTTCCTGTATCGCCCTCTTTGTCTTACTCCTTGGAGCGTAGCACGCTTTTCCACTTATTGCCTGGCGGGCATTTGCCAGAGCCTTTTTCCTGCGTCGTTTTGCGGCGAACCCAAAAACCGCACACAGTCAGCCAGCGAAAACGAGATGGGGAAAAACGGCCGGGAAGGGAATGCCAGGGAAAGCGACGGAAAAGCGCTGAGCGGGTAGCAAGGCCATAAACCAAAATCGGCCGCAGCCACCGACGCTTGCAAATGGTAAAAACGAAGTAAAATTAATGAAAATCACACACACCCTCACACTGATATATACAAAAACAGACAGGCAAGCCAGACGCAGCGGTTGGCGGGCAGAGACAATTAAAATGGCACCCACAGAATGTCCTTGCACCGCTGAGTGAATGCCGCCAGGCAGCTCTACCCACCAAACGAACCCATAACCCATCCCAAGCCAGAAACCACCCACCGCACGACAGCCTGGCACATTTGTCTTCCACGAAATTCGCTTTGGCTCTCATTAATTAAGATAATTAGGCCTTTTCGACGCCTTCAAAGTTCAACGTGCAAAGCGAACAAAAAAATGGAGGCAAAACGCACCGAATACAAAAATACAACAAAATGTGGGCAGTCAGGACGGCGCATTTAGTGACAGTTCAATGTTCAGCGTCGCATGTTTCAGAACCTTACAAAAAAAACGTCTCTACAATTTACTTCTGTCCATACCTAGCGTGGAACACACTCTCAATTCACCAAAATTAGTGGTTAGCGTCGTTCTTGGGTTTGATTGCTCCACATGGTCGCGAAACCACTCACTCAAGGACCCCCAAAGTCCATATCCTTATTTTCAAAAGCCCTCAGGCCCCCGGAGATTGCAACCGCAACAGAAATAGCAGGGAAGGTGGTTTACATTCAAGAATGTGTCACCAGCAGGGTTAATGGTGAAGCCACTCATCTTGAAACAGTACAAATTTGGGTACTTGGCATTAACTCTGTTAACTTTATTTCAATTCAAACTTTTTTAAATGCCATAAGTAGGCTCAGTTTCTAAATTCATATTCATATCATATAGGTGCTGGCACCTTTTAAGGCAATTTTAATGCTGTTTACTTATTTTTAGTCAAAATTCATCATTCCATTTTTATACCCTTGCAGAGGGTATTATAATTTCAGTCAGAAGTTTGCAACGCAGTGAAGGAGACATCTCCGACCCTATAAAGTATATATATTCTTGATCAGCATCACTAGGCGAGTCGATCTAGCCATGTCCGTCTGTCCGTCTGTCCGTCCGTCTGTCCGTCCGTCTGTCCGTCTGTCCGTCTGTCCGTCCGTTTATATGCAAACTAGTCTCTCAGTTTTAAAGCTATCTGCATGAAACTTTCCCAAAAGTTGTCTTTCTATTGCAGGTAGTATATAAGTCGGAACGAGCCGGATCGGACGACTATAGCATATAGCTCCCATAGGAACAATCGGAAAAATAAATGAAAAACAAGAAAGAAAGCAAACTTCGGCAAGCCGAAGTTCATATACCCTTGCAGCTATTGCATGAATTAAATACTTTTGAAAATATTTAAATTATGATTTACTTGAGTATATGCTGAAAAACATTGAAACTATGATGATTTGCAGCTCAATTATTAGATAGTTATTTTATATATTTTTATTATTTCTATGGGAGCTATATGCTATAGACGTCCGATTTTGATAAAATTTAAACCATAATTCTAAAATAATTAAACATTGCTATATGTCGAAGAACTAAACAAAAAATTAAAAAACAGAAAAGTTATAATATTTTTTCATTTATTTTTCCGATTGTTCCTATGGGAGCTATATGCTATAGTCGTCCGATTTTGATGAAATTTAAAACATAATTCTGAAATATTTAACCATTACTATATGTCGAAGAACTAAACAAAAAATTAAAAAACAACAAAGTTATAATTTTTTTTCATTTATTTTTCCGATTGTTCCTATGGGAGCTATATGCTATAGTCGACCGATTTTGATGAAATTTAAACCGTAAATCGGAAATATTTAACCATTACTAAATGTCGAAGAACAAAACAAAAAAATAAAAAACAGAAAAGTTATAATTTTTTTTCATTTATTTTTCCGATTGTTCCTATGGGAGCTATATGCTATAGTCGTCCGATTTTGATGAAATTTAAACCGTAAATCGGAAATATTTAACCATTACTAAATGTCGAAGAACTAAACAAAAAATTTAAAAACAGCAAAGTTATAATTTTTTTTCATTTATTTTTCCGATTGTTCCTATGGGAGCTATATGCTATAGTCGTCCGATCCGGCTCGTTCCGACTTATATACTACCTGCAATAGAAAGACAACTTTTGGGAAAGTTTCATGCAGATAGCTTTAAAACTGAGAGACTAGTTTGCATATAAACGGACGGACAGACGGACGGACAGACGGACAGACGGACGGACAGACGGACATGGCTAGATCGACTCTACTAGTGATGCTGATCAAGAATATATATACTTTATAGGGTCGGAAACGTCTCCTTCACTGCGTTGCAAACTTCTGACTGAAATTATAATACCCTCTGCAAGGGTATAAAAATTATAACTTTGCTGTTTTTTAATTTTTTGTTTAGTTCTTCGAAATATAGCAATGGTTAAATATTTCAGAATTATGGTTTAAATTTCATCAAAATCGGACGACTATAGCATATAGCTCCCATAGGAACAATCGGAAAAATAATTGAAAAAAAATTATAACTTTGCTGTTTTTTAATTTTTTGTTTTGTTCTTCGACATAAAGCAATGGTTAAATATTTCAGAATTATGGTAAAAATTTCATGAAAATTGGACGACTATAGCATATAGCTCCCATAGGAACAATCGGAAAAATAAATGAAAAATAATTATAACTTTTCTGTTTTTTACTTTTTTGTTTAGCCCTTCGACATAAAGCAATGGTTAAATATTTTCGATTAACGGTTTAAGTTTCATCAAAGTCGGACGACTATATCATATAGTTCCCATAGGAACAATAAAATAATATAAAATAACTATCAAATAATTGAGCTGCAAATCATCATAGCTTCAATGTTTTTAATCTTATACGCAAGTAAATTATAATTTTAATGTTTTCAAAAATGTTTAATTCTTGCAATAGCTGCAAGGGTATATGAACTTCGGCTTGCCGAAGTTTGCTTTCTTTCTTGTTTTTTTTGAATTTACACTTTAGATATTATGCAATTATTATAACCATTTTAATAATTAAACTAATATTTTAAAAAAAGTATGACAATAAGTATTATAAGATTATGTTATGAAGGTATCAGAAATTCGATTTCCTGTTGACTGGCAAAAGGCAATTTCTTTTCATATTTTTGCATATTGCCCAAACTGATTAAAATCACTTGCAGCTGCACTCTCGATGGCTCATAAAAATGTCAGCTAAATTAGTTATAAATCAGCCGGGAGCACCACGCCCCTTCCTATTTTTAGCAAAATAAACTTGAAATGCACAAGACACAAGGCAGCTCACAACTTTGTGAGCCAAAATGAAGCCATAAATTATACGAACTAATAATTATATGCCATCAAATTGTTGTAAGCAGCGGCAGAGCAGAAGCAGGAGGCGAAAGCTTAAGCAACGGCCAGGAAGGCTGAAGTCAGCCAGCGAGTTTAACGGCCAACATAAATTATAGACATTTAAAAAAACGGGGTGGCAGCCAGTGGAAGCCACGTTCATCTAGCGGATGCTAAAATGGGCTGTGGGCGGTGGGCGGTTGGTTGGTTGGTTGGTTGGTGCGCCAAACA